CACCTACACCACACATACACACAATACACACACAAACACATACACACACCAGACATGCACACATACATGCACCACAGATACATACATACAAACATACATATACCACACACACACACACACACACACACACACACACACATACACACACACACTGTGAACATACGAATGCTTAGTTTGGTGAGTACTATGCCAAGTATGTATGAAGCCTTTTATGTACAGCCCTGTGTTTTTTCGGGTTCTTTCAATCCAATAAAATAACATGAAAGTCCCCACCTTTCAGATGAGAATACTGAAGTGTAAAGGGACTAACAAGTCCAGGCCACGGGGCTTGTCAGAAAAGCTGGGGCTCACCCTCAGATGGGTCTGAGAACAGGCTTGTGCCTTAATCTCAGCCACCACACTCAGTGCTCCCACTGGGGTGTGAGTAAGTGCTCCCGCCTGTTCTATACTTTTCTTCCCAGTACTAAAAGTGTTTCACCACCTCTCCTCTAAATTACGTTGTGCACTTTGAAAGGCAAGGTGTTGGAGTTAAGGTGTTGGAGTTGTTAATGGCGTCTTTCATCAATGGTGCCTTTAAATGGATAGTAATTCCCAAGTGCAGTCTTGCTTGTTCATGCAAGTGACCAAATATGGTGGCTGTCTTTCTAAAGAAAACACGGTGTTAAATAAGGTGTGGTGACCCAGAAGGCAGGAATGTAGGCAAGGGCTCAAAACTTCCACAATCTCCAAAGGATACTTTCCATCCAACAGGACTCCTTTGCCATGAGGCAAGGGTGGTAATTGTGTGCTTTTCAGAGGATTAAATGACTTGAAGTTTACACTGTTTTTAGGACAGAATTTGACATTTATGAAATTCCCAGAACTGGCCACTGCAGCTCATTTGTGTAGCCAGCTCATTATCTAGGGATGCTCTCTCGCCCACCTTTGGAGAGAGACCAGGGTTACAGGCATGCTGCCAGCATTCACATGGGTCCCTGGGATCTGAACGCCAGTCCTTTGCTTCTGCAGAGAGAGTTTCTACTGCTGAGCCATTGATAGCCCTAGCTTATTGGTTTTTAGTGAATCAGGCGGGGCAGGGCGCCCAGCATGCACTACCTCTGTAACTCATTTACAAACAGAGCAACGCTGCCTGCAACAAATAGCCTTGCTGTTGGCCATGTCTCCTGAGTCACTCTGAGAACTACTGCTTTCAGTCCAAGTGTGATTTTTTTTGTATTAGTTAGCTTTGCATCACTATAACAAGTATCTAAGCGAATTTTAAAGGAAGGATTTCTTTTGCCTCCACACCAGAGGTTGCAATCTAGAGCCAGCTGATTCTGTTGTTTGTGAGTCAGTGATCAGGCAGATGTGTGTGGTAGAGAAGAAATACTCACCTCATGGGGGCCAGAAAGCAGATAGCAAACTAGAAGGAAAGAGAGGACCCTGGTATAAGATTGTCCCCAAGGACAAGCCCCCAGTGACCAACCTCATACAGCCAGGGCCTGCCTGTGGAAGAAACAGCACTTCCAAAGTGCAATGAGATGAAGGGTCCGTCAGTGTCTACATTCAGAGACAGCATCGATAAAGCTTGGAGGACTTTCAGGGTGGAGCTGTGAAGGCCCGTGAGTCACACTGCCTTTTTCTCCCGTCAGGCTGGAAGTGGTCTCTGAAAAGGAAGGCCTCCAAGAACAAAGCCTGTTCTACTTCTGTGACTGTCGGTTTCCTACAGATACACCTGCTGCGGAACGGGAACCACGTGTGCCCATTTGGGAGTCTTTGTTGTCTTTTGTCAACAGTGAATGTGGGGTGGGGAAAACGCAAATTGGCAAAGAAATGACAGTCTGAGAACTGAACAATGAGGGGCTGAGTGCCAGGAAAGGAGTTCAGGGGGAGTTTCTAGCTCCCTCCAGCCATGCCTTCACAGTGTATATGTGTCTCGTGAGTCAAGGTAGCCCTTACAGCGCTTTTTAAAATGTATTTTTTAATTATTGAAGAATTTCTTACAATGTATTTTGATATAACCATGTCCTTTTCTTCAACTTTTCCCAGATGCACCCTCACCTCCCTACCCATTCAACTTTGTGCCCCTCCCTCTTTTAAAAAAGAACCCATCTAGTTTAAGTCCAGTTTGTGCTGCCTGAACACTCCTGAAGTGTGGTTGACCTGCCAGGGGATCAGCCTTAAGGAAAACAGAGCCTGCTTCTCCCAGCACCTGTTAATCTTCAATAGCTCGTCAGCTGTGTCTCTGTGCTGGGATATTTTCTAGATTGAGCTTGCCCAGGCCTGGTGCATGCTGTCACAACCACTGTGATTTCATGTGTGTAGCTGGCCTGTTGTCACTGGGAAACGGTTTTCTTGCAGTCACCCACCATCTCTGGGTCTTAAATCTTTCTGCTCTCTCTCCGTTAATGATCCTTGAGTCTCAGGGGAGCCTTTTGAGACATGCCGCTTGTGGTTTAAAACCTGTAAGGTAGTTAGCTTCATTCTCAGTCAACCACCTGAGTAACATTACCCCAGCAAAGCTCTTTATCATGGAAACTACAGTAACAGCCTCAGCCTGCGACTCCAGGTGCTGAGCAGAGCTGAGCAGAGTGGTGGCAGAGAGTGCTCGCATGTGATGTGTCTTCCCGTGTGGGTGTAAGGAGAGCCTGGGAGCAGGTGGTGGAAAGCACAGGGAAGTGAATAACGAGTATCTCCCCTCCCTGTCCCTGTGCAGCTCTGTTCTGAAGCACACGTGCGCACGGGTGGCGCCGGGACGGCCGAGCTGCTGAGCACTCTGCGGACACTTCCCTGCTGTACGTACCTTGGCTATCAGCTGAGACAAAATGGAAGAGTCCTACAAGGATAGGACTTCACTGATGAAGGGTGCCAAGGACATTGCCAAAGAGGTGAAGAAGCAAACCGTGAGGAAGGTGAACCAGGCAGTGGACCGGGCCCAGGACGAGTACACGCAGCGGTCCTACAGTCGGTTCCAGGATGAAGATGATGATGACGACTACCCGGTTGGAGAAACCTACAGTGGGGAGGTCAATGACGATGAAGGCTCGAGTGAGGCCACGGAGGGTCATGATGAAGAGGATGAGATCTATGAAGGGGAGTACCAGGGCATCCCTAGCATGAGCCAAGGGAAGGACAGCACAGTGCCCATAGGGCAGCCCAAAGGAGACAAAGACCGCAGAGCACTGGAGTCGGAGAGGAGGGCTGATGAGGAAGAGCTGGCCCAGCAGTATGAGCTGATAATCCAAGAGTGTGGCCACGGTCGCTTCCAGTGGGCCCTGTTCTTCGTCCTGGGCATGGCTCTCATGGCCGACGGCGTGGAGGTGTTTGTGGTAGGCTTTGTGTTACCCAGTGCCGAGACAGACCTATGCATACCGAATTCAGGATCTGGATGGCTAGGTGAGTGCTTTATGTCAGCCAGGCAACTCGGAAGTGTTTTATTTACGAGCGCAGAACAAAGAACTTTTAGCAAGAGCATTATATTTGTCCAGCAATTTTTAATGAAAAAAAATCTTATAAATACAAAAGAATCAGAATAATTGTGGAGTGAGCACCTGTACAGAATCACTTGGGTCTGTAGCTAACTTTTCTGATAATTTCTTCATGTTTTACATATCCATTAGTACAACCTAACTGGGTGCATTTTCAAAGTTAGAAAAAAATGTATTTTAACTTACTCTGGGAAAACTCCTGTGCCATTTAATAAGAAGTGCATCACTACCTGATATACACATTTCACTTTTATAACTAGAATCTACACACAGCGATAGCTATGACATCACTACCTGATACGCACATTTCACTTTTATAACTAAAATCTACACACAGCGATAGCTATGACATCACTAGCAATACAGTTTTAGGTCACCATTACAGACACAGCCTTGATGAAGCAACACATGAGTATATGTCACATGGGAGCTTAGCACAATAGATTTGCATTGGTGATGTCGAAGGTAGAGCTGGGGGTGTAGCTCAGTGGTAGAGCACTTGGCAAGGACATGCAGGACCCTGGGTTTGATCCCAATGTCTTTTAAAGGAAACCCAGATGACACTTTTCTAAATAGAGGTAAATTTCATAAAATGGGTAAATGTTTATTTCAGATATCATGTCTAATGCTGTCACTTATTTTTAGAACACTGATATTTTTCCTCATGATCTGTGAGAATGCTTGCTTCTCTTTCCCCAATTAGATTTACACATAGAATTTTCTATAGGTGATTATAAATTCGTTTTCAGGATTTGTATCTTTCTACTTACAGCTTAGGCTGGACAAATGTCATTCTTTAGTATGATTTTAAAATCTGTTTCAAATCTTATTAATAATTCAATTGTATGTGTTGAAAAATGTCTTCTGTAAGGTGTCTAGACATCAGATTTTATTTTTATACCCAGTTCTCCATGCACCCAAAGTTCTCATGCTTATGGAGCTGTAGTTGGAGAAACACACCAACAATTTAAGGGTTTGTGTCAACTACGTGGTACATTACTAATTCAGAAGGAGCTTCAAACTCCTCTTACAGATTGTGCCATAAAGAACATGTTTGTGGAGATGAAAAATCCTTACATGCTTCAGAGTCTATAAAATAAATTAGAATACTAGTGTCCATATTTTCAGGAGGCGTCTTTAAACTAAGCTTGAGAAACAAAGAGCATATAAACTTTTGTTTTAAAATATGGTTAATTAAATAATGTCATAATCATTGATGCAAAGAAATTTGCATGATTAGATGTTGCTTCCCAACTTTCTCTCTGGTGGTACAAGAGATAATCACACAGAAAAAGGACTGATATTGTTTAATTCCTTTAAAGCTTTTTATGTTTTAAATTAGCTCCTCTGGCTGTAGGTGCATTTATCCTGCTGTGTAAGTGAAAGGACTGAGTCTACAGAAGCCACAGGGTGGGGGTTTGGGGAACAATTTGCACATTTTTTTTTCAATTTGCACATTTTTGCTGATAGATTCATGTGTGTGTTCAACCATCAGCCTGCAGACATCACCATGCTTCAGTAGAGAAAGTTTAGCTATTCATTTATTTAGCAAGCTGATTATTTCAGTAGATCTCTTATATCTGACACTTTTTTTTCTTGTTGATTTTCTTTTCCTTTGGTGGGCAAGTGTATCAATGTAAGTCTGGTTGACTAAGAACTTTCAAGACACTGCTAAAGGAATGTGTCAGTAGAATGTTTCAAGTCAGAGCCTTAGAACTGTATCCACTGCGTATTGAATCATTGCAGGCTTATGTTTGGAAGGAAACCCTTTTCAAGCTATGACACTAGTTTTTATGTTGGAGACATTACAGAAATGCCTGTTCCAGGCTTGCCTTCTTCCTTTATCTTCATGGTACTGAACCCACAGCACTGCATAGGGTCCCTTATCAGTATTTCACAGCAATCAAGGATGAGACACATGCACAGGTGGTATTGAAAAGTGTAGATAACACTGCAGGAAAAGAGAAACCTGGATTGTTTCATCTGTCTGTGAATGTTGCCTGCTTCAGTGAACTGATACTGTGTCCTCAGGAGGACCTGGTTTCACTCAAGGGTGTGAGTCCCTAACAGAAGCATTTTAGTGGTTTTATGACTGCGCCTTCCAGACTTGCATTTCAATTATTTTGCCATTGTAATTTCACTCATAATTGCACTGTAACAGTGTCTCTTTAGACAACCATTTAAATTGGTTTGCCATTTTCATTTCATCGGATAATGGCTTTGTAATATAATTACCACACTAAGTCATAGCAATGGGATCAAAATCAGAAAAGAAAGACACATGACCCATACTTGGTGGTGTTTTGTGGATATGGAATTGCAAAATAAATTTTCATTTGCTAGTAAGCATCATGTCAATTTTCTCAAGGAAAAACAGGAACAAAGTATGACTCAGTTTATGTTTTAATTGTTTGTGGGGTTGAGTCTATCTGTGTTTGCCCAAAGATTGACTTAGGGTAACTAGGGCATACTGTGTGTACATTTGCTGTGTGCACAGATAACATTGTTAATTGGGCTGGAAGAAGTAAGAGTAAATATTTAATTATCTATTGAGTTATTTCTTGGGGAAATAAATAGTGTCCTTTGAAGGCAATTAACCCCCTGTTGCTAAAGTCAATTTATTACGCATTTATAGTATGCAATGCATAGTGCCACCACCAGGAATATAGGAGACAAAGACAGACAGACAGACAGACAGAGAGCTTGCTTATCCTAAGAAATTAGAGTCTAGAAAGGAGAAAGATATGTCTGCAGATTCCCAGGACAAGAGAGCAAATGTCTGAGGCCAGAAGAAAAACAAGACAAACTCATTTAAGGAGCAGGACTCTGAGTAAAGCAGAGAAGAGGAGATGGGCACTGGCCCAGAGGTACTCAGCAAGGAGTGGCTCATTGGTTAGTTTGGAAGAGGACAAGGAATGGTCTAGTGGAAGGAAACTGGGAAGTTATCAAACTAGGAAATGCAGAATGAAGCTTTTAGCAGGAAGGGTATTCCCATTTTATACAGTCTCACTTTGGGGTCTTTGGAGAGGGTTAAAATGCCCACAGGTTATTTCTCTATTGCAAATGAAACATCAAAGAGTTAGGTGCCGTTGCATTTAAGGTGGCACTGTCAGTGGCCTTTACTGGGGTAGCAGAGGCTCTCTGAAAAGAATGCTTAGTTTATAGCAAAGACAGAACCCAGCCCTGAAGTCTGGAAACAGATTTGTTGGCAGCTGTAAATGGCTTTGTACAATCAGGAGGAACAAGGTTAAAATTCTAGGGACATGACCACAGCTCTTAGATTCTCTGCCCCTCTCAGACATCAGCCATCCTTACTTTCCACAGCTGAGGCTCAGGGCAAATGCAGCTGAAGGTGTCCTGTGGGCGATGACTGGCTTAGTTCCCGTCCTAAGGCTAATGAGCAAGCATATTGAGTTCTAAAGCACTAGTGAGCTGTGGTCATTTCAGCTGGAGCCCCTCCCCAGCTCCAGCCCTGATGCAGAACAAGCACCCTGCTGGCTGCTCTCCCTTCCCTTCTCCATCAGTGGGGCTGGCTTCTCACTCATAGGCTCACTTCTTAGACACTCCTGGTGGAGCAGAGAATGTCCTGTGATCAGCTCAACTGCTCTCTTGTTTAGAGTTCCAAAAATAAGTATTTAGGAATCAAAACATTATCATGGTCAGCAGTGATTGGTACAAAATTGTTGGAAAGCTCAAAATACACGTGATAACTAATATTGAATCATTTTGTGATTAAGCACCCTGTATGTGCTTTCTTGTCCTTTTCAAGGAAAACTGTAACTATAAAACCTAAGTCTCATGTGCAATGGTAATTTTGAGAAGACGAATTTTAAAAAGCGTAATTGGCAAAGAACCAGGCTACTGGAAAATAAAAATAAATGGTGTTAGGAAATGAAACACTCTCCTCCCAAGGATCAGTAAACAGTTTAGAAGAGGAGGAAGAAAGAACTTAAAAACTGGACTATGGGTAAGAAAGCATGGGATCCTCCCATTCAGATATGGCCATTGCAGGCATGACACACAGCAACTGCACAAGTCCCACTCAGGGTGCTAAGAGCCAAACGTGGGTTCTATGGAAGAGCAGCCAGTGCTCTCCACCACTGGGCCACCTCTCCAGCCCAGGAAAGTAATTTTTAAAATGGAAGTAGCAAGGCCATTTCACTCAAAAGGCATTAATTGAGCTCCAGCTACAACTGAGGTGCTTGGCAAGGTACCCTGGGAAGTAGTTTGAGGAGCATTTTCTGATCTTTGCCATTTGGGAGCATTTTCTGCAATGCAACTTGTAATGAGGTGAATTTTAGTATGCTGAACCCTCGGCATGACAGCCAGTGGGTGCAACACTGTCATCTCTCAGAACACAGGATCACTGAATTCACCTTTGAGAACTTATGAGAACCCATCTGAGGAAGTAACATTTAAAAGGGTCTGAAGGATGACAAAGAGCTCACTGCACAGCTAAGAAAAGAAGCACTCTGGGAAAACAATGTAGCTGTGGAAGGGCATGGACGCCATGAGGAGATAGATCACTGGGAATTTTGTTTGACTGAGAGGTAGTGGCAGTTTTGCAGCTGACTGAAGTCAAGCTGTAGGCATATTGTGACAGACTTTAATGTCAAGAAAGGGGATTGATTGTATCCTGAAGCAAACACAGCGCTATTAGATCACACTCTAACAGCAGTGTGAGAAGGGAATTCGATGAGAGACTTAAAAAGTCAGATAGACATAGAAAAACCTTCTTTACTGATGTATAATGATTTACAAGTAAGCTAAACTATTCTGTTCCTCAGTTTCTATATCTTTGTCAGGAGTAAGAATGCTAGCCCTGGCGCCAGAGAGATGGCTCAGAGGTTAAGAGCACTGGCTGTTCTTCCAGAGGTCCTGAGTTCAATTCCCAGCAGCCACATGATG